TGTCCACGGCCGGTGCCTGAGTGTCCAGAGCTGTCTGCTGAGTGCTCGTGGCGGGATCCGTGTCTTCCTCCTGGGCTTGATGCTGCCTGCTCCTGGGAAGACGCAGCCCGCCCACGAGAGGAAGTGTCTGCGTGACGAGCGCCTGACTGTCTGGAGCTGTCTGCCGAGTGCCCGTGACCGGCTCTGTCTCCGTGATGGGACCCGCGGTGCCTGGAGCCATCTCTCGACTGCTCCCGAGCGGACCCATGATGGTCTCTGGAACCAGACCCAGACCGCCTCTCGGAGTCAGATTCCGAGTGTCCCTCGCTGTGGCTCTCCTGGCTAACGCTGGATCCCCGGCGCCTGCTGGCCCTGGAGCCCGCTGATGGTCCCTGGCCCGACTGTGAGTGTCTAGAGCTGTCTGCCCGAGTGGAAGCCTCGTGGTGATGCGACCCTGAGTGCCTGGGGCCGTCTCCTGACTGTTCCTGGCTGCGTGTTTGTCGGCTTGCACTTCTGGATCCAGAGTGCCCACGGGAAGCATCAGACCTGCCCTGGGAAGCCGTGTGGCGGTGATGGGACCCTGAGTGTCCGGAGCTGTCTCCCGACTGCTCGTGGTGGGATCCCTGCCTTCCTCCTCTGCTTGACCCCGGCTGTCCACCAGTGGCGTCCTGACCCTCATGGGACTCTGAGTGCCTGGAGCCGTCTTGTGCATGCTCGTGGCGGGCCCCTTGTCTTCCTCCAGTGCCGGGCCCGGAGTGTCCGTGGGCGGACTCAGACTGTTCGTGAGTGGTCACCTGGTACAGGAAAGGGCCTGAACGTCCAGACCTTTCCCCTGACCGGCCGCGTGCGGACTCATGGTGGCTCCGCTGACTGTGCCCAGCCTGTGTGTGGCCTGACACTGACTGTGAGTCTGAGTCTTCTGAATGCGCCTGGCTGTCACTGGCCTGACTACCCCTGGACTCCGAGTGTCCATGGTGGTCGACTGCAGATGAGAATTGTCCACGGCCGGTGCCTGAGTGTCCAGAGCTGTCTGCTGAGTGCTCGTGGCGGGATCCGTGTCTTCCTCCTGGGCTTGATGCTGCCTGCTCCTGGGAAGACGCAGCCCG